GAAGGGGACCCATAACCCATAAGAGAGTGCATGCCACAAATAAAAATACATATATCACACACACACACATACACATATATATATATACACACACATAGGAGAGAGAGAGAGAGAGAGAGAGTGTGTGTGTGTGTGTGTGTATATATGTATATGTGTAAATATATTAGAAACCACCACCTAAATTTAAATAAGCTGTCGGTTCAACCTCTTTTGAATTGGTTGTATAATGTTGAAGTTGATGGAATATATATAAATATAAGATAAGATTTGAATTTGCCCACCAATATATTTTAATATAATTTCATTATTCTTACAACTTTCCATTTTTATTATTCTTCCATCTTATTAACTTTAAATCAAACTAAAGCAAATTAAATAGTAAGTCCAATATTTAAAAAAAATAAAAATAAAAATGTATAATTTTCATTAATTAATACACGAAAAACAATAAAAAAAATGTACAATTTAATTCAAATTTATAACATTTTATTAAAAAAAAAGAAAAAATATTAATCATTCAGTAAAATTAAATACGATATTTGACCTATAAAATTCGACACGTTAACTTTTTGAATTAATTATTTAATGTTGAGCAAAATATAGAATATGATATTATTTAGAAATAATCGTGAAAATAAGCACGAAAATTATGACGGATAATAAATAATAAATTATTTATTTATATTTTCTATTTCACAAAATAAAGATAAATATTTTTTACTTTATAAGATCAAATTTCATTCATTTTGATTAAACCAAATCTTAATTTGAATTATAATGTCAAATTTATTAATGTTTAATATAATAAAATACACGATATTATTAATATTATGTAAATTAAATTATATTTTTTATAGTATTTATTTATAATTGCATTTACATTGCATATAGGAATGTTTAATTTTTCCCTTCAACATTTGTGTGAAATTAAATTAATTGAATAAAAAAAATGACAATTTTATCTATGGTTTTCAAAATTAAAATAGAAAAGATTGACATTTCAAAATCAAATTAATATGAATAGTCGAAAATACATTGCCAACATTTTTCAATTATTTAATTTATTAAAAAATGAATTTTTTTTTTATGTTTATTATATTTTTAATTCGACATAATATATAATTAATTGGCATAAAATAGAAGTAAAATATAATACATATTAAATTTATGAAAAAATATATATATATTGATTAAAATTCGATGGTTAAAAATAATTTTTATTATTATTATTATTATTTAAAGCTCACGTGCACTCTGTGGAATCCGTCGTCTATGGCCTTGTGCCATTTTCAACATTCTATTTAATATTTATTTATGACAATTGATACCAATAATTTTTTTAAAAATATAAAAAACAAATTACAATTTTCAACTTAATTATAAATAAATTTATTGATTTGAAATTTGCAATTGATATATCAAAATTTAAATAAATAATATAATTCAAAAAATTATTGTAAAATTATGGTCAAAATTTACAATTTATTTATTTTGATCATAAATCTCCACTGAAATTTGTCTTATTTCTCCCTTCAATTTCATTTAAAAATCTTTTGATCTTTCACAAGATTTTTCTACCCTAATTTTTAGATTTAGAAAAAAAATATTTTTAATTTCTACAATTATTAAAATAGATTGACTTGATTAATTGTTTTTTTTTTTTTTTACATTAAATTTTAATTATCTATCATTTTGTTGGAATTTTTAAATCAAATATTTTGTCCTTAAAAAGAGTTATGATATGATTAACGTATAAATATTACTTATTTAATAAAAATATGCATTAAAAATTTAATTAATTCAAAAACCAAGGACCCAATTGGAATTTTCCCCCTTTAGACAACATCAAAATCAAATGACAATTGGTCCTCAGTGCTGTAAGTTCAATTCATGTCAGAAAATTATGTTATCTATATATATATATATATATATATATATATATATATTCCCTAGAAGAAGAAAAGACAAAATAAAAAATCAAATTTTGCAATAAACCCATTGGTGATTTAAGTTACTAATGTATGAATACTAAATACGACACACAGACTAGTACATATAATATAATGATATATATATATATATAAAACCATGTAAAGAGTAGTAATAAACAAAAAAGTCAAGATTTTTTTATATGAAGTGTTGACAAGTGAATAGGAGGAGGAGGAGGAGGAGGAGGAGGATGACCCTTTTGTCAACTACCTTCCCCTTTTTTAGGACAGGAAAATGTGTCTGCAGCTGTCTCTTCTTGGGTTTTCTTGCATGGCCAGTCCCCTTGGGCCATGTTCCTGTGCGTAAAACTAACGGTTACAAGGTTATTCTTTCTTTGATTTTGAGAACTAATCTAATAAAGAAT